CTTCTGACATTGGAAACATAAAAACAAATATTCATAATTTTTTTTCAGGAGATGATTCTCCTGAAGAGCCAGGCTGCACTAATCACACAAGGCTGAGTACAAATAAGGAAGTAGGAAAAAATAGAATTATTCTATTGTTCCTTCAGAACCCATAATAACCAGGAGTGGTGGTGATTCTGGTAATTTCAGTGATTGGGAGGCCAAGGCAGGGCCAGTCCCTCTGCGGAGGCTGGCCTGGGCCACACAGTGAGTTCAAGGCCTGCCTAGTGATGTCCTGCTCAAAGCAAAACCAAACCAAACAAAACCTGGCAAATATTTTTTTCCCATTCTGTAGGTCCTTTCTTCACTCTGTTAATTGTTTTTTTTTTTCTTTTGCTCTGTCAAAGTTTGTAGTTTGATGTAAAGTCATTTGTCCAATTTTGCTTCTGTTTCTTGTACTACCAGGATCCTACTCTGAAAAAGTATTGCTTGTAAAGATACATTTGTTTCTCTTATTTTTCTAGTAGTTTCAGGTGTCAGTTCTTACATTAGGTCTTTCATCCATGTTAAGTTTTTTTATTTTATTTTTTTGACAGGTTAAGAGATGTGGCCTGAGTCTGAATCTTGCACATATGCATGTTTAGGTTTCCTAGCACCTTTTCCTGAGGAGCCATCTCACTCCAGCTAGAGTAGTTCATCTCAAAACAACAACAAAGAAAAATAATAACAAATGTGACAAAGGTGTGGAGAAAAACAAGAACTCTTACACACTATTGGTGGGAATGTAAATTAGTATAGCCACTATGAAAAACAATAGGGGGTTCCTCAAAAAACTGAAAATAGAACTACCATATGATCCCACAATCCCACTCCTGAGTATGTATTTATAAAATAGAACAGCACATAAACCAGACAGCTGAATGCCTGCAATAATAACACCAGAGATCAGCCCAGATTTCAGGACATTATTTCCAGAGACAAACGAGACACACTCTGCCATCATTGCTGTGCCTGTAACCCATCTTGTGGCCCAGCAGGAGAAGACACCCCATGGTACTTCTTGTTAAGAAAGTATTATTCAGGTAGAGAAGAATTAAGTTTTATAATTAGAGACAGACTGGACAGAACTCGAGGGCAGTTTTTTAAATGAAGTAAGCTGGACATGGAAAGGAAAGTGTCACATTCAAATATAGAGTTTGTCAAATCAGTTGAGGTATTTTTCAACTGCAGAATCTCTACTTTTTCTTTATAAAATGAATTCTATCTTGTAGACAGAGTGATGACAGAGTGATATTTCTAAATAGCATTCTCTTGACTTTCTTTGGTTATTTGCCTGTCCTGGCCTTTTACTATTTCTGTATGTCTAAGGCAGTCTTGTAAAAGATGACATCCTGTGAGTCTGATGTTTTGTTTCTTAGGGTTTATATCTAGATATCCCCTTGCCTCGTGGGATTATAGGCAGGACTTTTGGAAATTGTCTGGATCATAGGGCCAGTATAGATGACTTGATGTTGGGAGCCAGGGGCTGGTCTGAAGCAGCAGGTCATTGCAGCTGAAGGACATGTGGCCACATCTATATGGAATTAATTTCTAGAAAACTATTTTCTACATTTTGTGTTACTGATTTGAAGATAAATGGGATTGGTTTTTTGACTCTTGTAGAAGGCAAAAGGTCATGAGTCTTCAAGAATACTGGAACATAGCAAGGGAGGATGTCTGAGAGGGGCCAGTGAGACTTTAATGAATAATATGTTTGGTCTGATTGGAAGAATAAAGCATTTATAGAACTCACATATAATTAAAAAAGTCAAATATTCCCAATATAAAAGGCATTTACCAGATAAATGAGATGACTTCACCAAAGAGTGAAGTGACAGTTTAAATGATTAAATCAAGCTTATATATAAATAGTCACTTGGGGTCAAGGATTTAGTTCAGTGGTGCCACCACCTGTTTCATAAACACAAGGTCCTGAGATTGATCCCCAGTATAAAAAAAAAAAAAAATTCATCCAATAAATGGTGCCTTGTTTTCTTTTCCTTTGTAGCTTTGAAGTCTCTAAAATTCCTCAGTTTGTAAATTTTTCCATAAGAATTCAGATAGTGAGAGGATAAACTCACAGTATTACTAGGTTAGAAGATGTAAAACTTGGGAGACCAGGGATAGGATTTAGCCTGTAAGGGCCTGGAGATTTTAACCAGTAAGACTGACCTATCTCCTTAATTGTTCTTCTCTGTGGATGTGCACACTGGTGGGAACAGCAGTCACAGCTCTGGTCTGGAAAATCACTTATCTGTAGAAAGAATCCCATACCATGATGCAGAGGACCAGGGGCCAGAGGATGGGTGCCAGCAAGACCATCCTGAGAAAGGGAATCTTCTGAAGTGTCTTCAGCCTGGATGAGCAGGATTGGAAAAAAGGATCAATTTTATAATTTAGACAGATATTGTCCAGTAATCCATGTGTGTCCCTGCAGAAGAGCTTATGCTTCAACCCCCAGTTCCTGGACCTCAGCAACAGGTCCCTACCAGAGAGAGCCTCACAGTGTGGCTCATGAGCTGGTTTTGTACAGATGCCTGGGGACAGTTCTGGATAGGATCAGGTTGGATAGGTCATGACTTAGGATGAATTACATAGGGCTCAGCTGACATTCTGAGGTTTCTCACATAATCATAAAATACCACTATTGGAAAGGAAAGATGTCATGAAGTTGTGATTTTTTTATCAGATATTGAGAGATATTTCCTCTGCTTGTCTTTTCCTGACTGTTGTCATTGGTATGAATCTACTATAATATGTTGTTTTTCATTGTTCTTTTAGTCATTATTAGGCTGTGTCCACTGTCAGGGGGACCTGGTAAGCTAGATGGTGTCAGTCCTAGTTCTAGAACAAGGAAAAAAGTGTGGCTGTGATAAAATGTGAATCTGATCTGCTGGTCTACAAAGCCTCAATACAGGCCTGGGGGGAAGGTGAGGCCATGAACTCCCTCCTAACTGAGTGAGGAGACTTTAACCTTTGTTCTCAGGTTAACTGACATTAATTAGACCACACTCTAGGAACTTAATCCTCATTCTTTTTATTTTACTGGAAAGGGCTACTTTCAAGAAAGTTTTCTTGTGAGTAATCTCTTAAGATTAAAACACATTCTACTTCTCACTAAATGAAATAAAGGAACTAATTTTTATTCAATTACAATCTCATTCTCAATCATTCCTTAGTGTCCATTGCTTTATGATCATAGGATATGCTGGAAAAATACCCAGTGGGAGGATGTGTAAAGTTATTCCTGAATTAGAAGAATAACCTATGAAAAGGAGAAGAATTAATAATAATACCCAAGATCAGTCTGGATTTTGGAACATTATTTCCAGAGACACATGAGACCCTCTCTGTCATCATTGCTGTGCCTGTGAGCCATCTTGTGGTCCAGAATGAGAAGATACCCTGTGGTACTTCTTGTTAAATGACTGCATCATTTTTAGAATAACAGGTGCTTCTATCTTGCATTTATTCAAAAGTGGTTTTATCTTGTATTCTGCTTTAAAAAAATGGCAAGTAGTTATCAGAAAGTAACCAGGACTGTGGGTACATTAGATTGCAATTTTTAGTTTTTGTTAGATATATTATCATTTAGATGTTAACAGCTTGTGAATTAAGATTTCACTACCATGTCATAAATCCAAATGCCACACAAAGGCACATGTAAACCAGAAGGAGAGGATTCTACAGCATCCAAGGAGAGGGTTCTACAGTATTCATCAAAACTTGCAGCTGAACATATGGCAAGAGATGAGGACTGAGAATCACCCATGACTTCCCCAAGGAGCCTAGAGGATCAGCACCTGGACTGTGGATTCTCAGACAGGAGGGAGAGCCTTGTGGACAGTTTGGACCTTCTGTGGAAGGTGCATGCTGCTGCTAGTGGAGGACCAGAGGAACCTACATTTCTAGTATCTGCATCTCAGGACTTTGAAAGGCTCACCATAAAGAAAAAAGAAACATTTCAGGAGACAGATATGCTAATTACACTGATTTCATCCTTATACATTGTATACAGGTATGGAAAGTCATACCATATCTCACAAATATATGTATCATATATATATAATTACTAGACATTTTTAAAGGCTAGAGTGTAGACACGCAATCCATTTCAAAGAAAAAGAAAATATACCAAAAAAACCTAGTCCTGCTTGGAATTCCAACAGTGGCTTTTCCTTTGCTCCATGAATCTCTCATCTGGCCATTACTCTCATTCCTTCAGTGTATTAATCCAGTCCCTTTATTAAATCAGGAGATGCACTGTGATATCTGTGCTGCTGGGGCTGACAAGGAGCAAGAGATTTAGGGTACAGAGGACCCTCTCTGTGTCCTTCCACCAAGCTTTTATGTGACCTTCAAAGTCTGGCTGCATGTGAGAAATGCTCTCATTAATGCTTGTCAGTGAAATAGGAATTTTCTATTTGTCATTGAGACTCTTAATGTTGATAATCTTCTCAGAATATTGTGTAATCTGGTCACTTCAGAGGGACAGACGCTGACCTGGAAAAAAATTCCTGCAGCAATGGCAAAATAGTGTATAGCACTACACAATCATGGGTAGTTAAACTGGAAAACATATTAATTTCCATAGATAAAAAGCAAGCAGCTCTGACTCTAGGTGTGATTCCACCATATGCTTGGTCTGATCCAGGTTTGATAGCACGTGCCTATAATCATAGCACTCTGGAAGGCTGAAGCAGAAAGACTGCAAGTTCAAGTCCAGCCTAGGCAAAATTAGAGAGACTAAAGGATGGGAATGTACCCCAGTAAGAGGACCCCAGAATCAATTCCAAGGAGAGAAAGGGGAGAGAGAGAGAGAGAGAGAGAGAGAGAGAGAGAGAGAGAGAGAGAGAGTGAGCTACTTTGTGGTATGAATCTCTGCTGCTGCTTTGGCAGTCCCACAGTCCATACTCCCCACATGTGCTTATCTGTGTCCTCTATTATATTAGCAGATGCACTATCATTATCATGTCTGAGTGGCTGGGCCCAAGGAAGAGATGGAGAGATAGGATGCAGTGGAGCCTCCTTGACCCTTCTCCCAAATCCTCCAAGTGAACTTCAAAACCTGTCTACATCTGAGAAATGCTGTCAGGAGGAGGGGACACCAGGAGGAGCAGCTGGGGCAGCTCAGCCTCACACTTCTGCTTCCCTAGGTGGCTTCTGTTATGGTTTGTATCACTGTGGGAGGGAACTCATAATCATGCTGACAGTAATAAGTTGCAACATCTTCAGCCTCCACACTACTGAAGAAGAGTGAATAGTGTGTCCCAGATCCACTGCCACTGAACCTCGGTGGGACCCCAGATTGCAAACTGCTAGCAGCATAGATCAGGAGTTTAGGAACTTTCCCTGGTTTCTGCTGATACCAATGTAAACCACTGTAACTGTTCTGACTGGTTCTGCAAGTGATGGTGACTGTTTCTCCAGGAGATACAGAGAGGGAGGATGGAGACTGCTTCATCTGGATGTCATATCTGGTACCTGACATTGGAAAACAAAAACAGATATTTTCAGAATTATGCTGCAAGATGACTTTCCTGAAAAGCCAGGCTGCACTGACCACATTCTGCTGAGTAAATTCCCGGTGCTGTCCCTCCTTACCTGGGAGCCAGAGCAGCAAGAGCCCCTGGAGCTGAGCGGGAACCTTCATGTCCATGCTGTGTCCTGACTGGGGCTGAGTCCTGCACAGGGTGTGAGCAGCCTATGAAGAAGTCCTCAGGGTAGTAGGCTGTACTCTGGGGACATGAAAATCAGCAGGGACTGGGCACAGCTGTAGGGCTGACTCACCTCAGTCATTCAGCACCAGGCCCAATATACCCAGATGTTCCAGGTCAGAGCAGTTTATTGAAGGTTTTTCTGCCAACAACATGCTTCTTCCTGGAGACCATTTTGTTACAGAAGAGTTTTGAGACTTTAAAATTTGAAATGAATGTAGAGTGCATGGAATAATGTCTGTCTTCGTTTTCTTTGCAATAATGTAAGATCACGTCCTTGTTTGTAAGGAACATATAGTAAAATCTTAGAAAGTTTTACAATTGAACATTTTCTTACCCCAAAAGTTTCAGATTGGCAAAAACATTTGAAATTTCCTCATAATACTTTTTGGATTTGAAATTGTTTTGTTTCATTAAATAGAAATTGCATATTTATCAAACCATGTCTAATGAATTTTAATATATTTTATAACAGCCTTAGGGAATTGTCATTAGCAGCACAAACTCAGGAAATGTGCTGCAGATGCACAAGGATAACAGGTGACTCTCCAGCTAGCATATCATGCACAGGCCAAGCTCCAGGTCTCCCTCATAGCAAGAGACTAAATGCTCTGTATCCTGTTACTGATCTGGAGTTGCCAATATTCTGTGTGTTTTCTGCCATATGGAATTATTTCCCACATTGCATTGGCAGGCAGAGTTTAGGAACATGCTCTGATGACTTCAGTGAAAATCACTGTATTCACTGCAGGTTCCTAGAAGGCACCATAAATGCACTATCTTCTTCTTTTGGTCTTTAGTAGTGAATGGGAACCTCATCCTGACCTAGAGATGAGCATCACTCTCTGCTTCTAAGTCTCTGTCTACTGTTGATGCAGTGAATATGTTCAGGGAGAAATATCTTGAATCCTGATAAAAACTTGAACTGCAATTTGAACACCTATCTCCCATCTGTATCTTTGCCTTGGACCTCTCAGCCCAATTCAGCAGCAAGGGAAGTGGAACCCACTGTGTCTTCAGCATCCATGCCCTGTAGCCTGCACCCTCAGGGAGTCTTACTGATATGTACATTGCTGGCCCTGACCAGACCTGCATGCTGCAGCTTGATCACAATCCTGCTGCATTTCCAGGGCACTGAATCTTAAAGAAACTTACTACCAAACAACAACCTCCTGCACTGGAGTCCTTGTCCTTGGAAACAGTATAAAGCCATAAACAAGTGTGAGTTCTTGGAGGGCATCTCTGGTCTGATGTTTTCTGCTCCTCATTCATAGGAAGAAATATTAAGAAAATTCCAGAAACATTTAATTTTCCTTATCCAATTTCCCTTAGATTGGATTTAGCAGTAATTTAATTTTTCTAGGTCAGAAATTCAGAGAAACTTCTAAAAAATTCTTGCACACAATGAAATACAAATTAGAGGAAGTGAAACAACCATCCCCCTTTGCTTAAGCTACACAGACCAAAGAGCCCTGAATATCATATTTCATCCTGCTGTTTTGCTTTATACATCTGCCTTGTGAATTTTATTCTACTTTAAGGGATGATAATTTTAGAGAAGATGATAATAGTTGTTGAAAGATGAATAATACCCCCAGAGATATCCATGTTCTAACATGTGGAAGCTATAGGGGTTACCTTCTATGTCAAAAGGAACCTGGCAGATGTGATTATGATAAGGATTTTCAGATTGGGATAGTAGCATAAATTATGTGAGTAAGACCAATATAATCATTGAAATTCTTATAACAGGAAGGAGGAAAGTAACTATCAGAGTGGGGATTTGATAATGAAAATAGACATTGGCTGATGGGAGGCAGGGGTAATGGATGGGGGAATGTGGGAGCATCTTGGAATTTGAAAGGCTGATTCTTTACCCTCCAGCCTCTGGAAGAAGCACAGCACCCCTGACTCCTTGATTTCATCCCAGTGTGAATTATGACCTCAAGAACTACAATATAACCATTTTATGTTATTCAAAGTTCATGACGTCATGGATGCTTTGCAGGACCTATGGAAAACTTAACACAAGTAACTTATTTGATCTCTGAGTATGTGCCTGTTCCCTGATCTCTGAAGCATTTCTATCTTTTTAGTATTTGGTGTCAATTTCACAAGAGACATAGAATATTTTACTGGAAGAAGAGGTAGAAGGAGACATTCTCCTCTATATAATCTCTTGGGTGAAATAGCTTCATTAAATCATGTACAATCTGGGTATGTGAGCCTAAGGTAAATTCACAGCACTTGGGAGTAGAAGGAAAATTTTATTTCTGTTTACTTTCCATATTAAAATGACAAATGAGAATTATGTGATATAATATAAGAGGGACATAGGTTGAGAGGAAAAGAGTAGTTGTAGAAGTCAGGGAATTCCACTTTGTGTCTTACTCCAAAGTCTGAATCAAAGTCATTTAGAGTTTGTAAATGATTTAGATTAATGTTTCTGAGAAAAGCTGAAAATTGACTAAACTGAAGGTCATGTGGTATGGGCAGAGGCAGCAAGGAAGTGTGAATCTCTCATTTAGTAATCACAGGCCTATAATCCCAGTGTCACACACTCTAGATCCAACTGCCCCACCTGTGACCACATGAGACTTTGGGATACATCTAAGCACAAGACATAACAGGTAAAAATACTTCATATAAACTGAAAAAGAGCACTATGGTGCATGCTACTGCTGGTGTAGAGGATTATTCTCAAAGGATGTGAAATTCTATGTACTACTCATGTGGAAACTTGACTTCTGTGCTAATGACCAAAAGAAAGAATTGTTTTAGGTCTTCTTTTATCATTTCTTGAAAACATTATTTTTACAAAGTATTCTTTTAAAATGCCCATATATGAGAAAGTATTACTATTTCTTGTGAAAACTAATGATAAAGCTTTAAAAATTCTACCATTGTGAACTATTTCACTCATTGTCTGTTGTCCTTACACATCCAGAAATCAAATTGTAGTAAAATTCTTCTTTCGTCCAAACAGACTTTTGGCAATTTTCTCTAATATTAGTAGATATAAATAGCAATAGTTTAAACTCTAAACAGGAATCTCTCTTTGTTATGTTTTCACATTATGCTGACGGCAACAATAGCAATGAAAGCTGATCGCTCCACAGCTGATCCAGATAAGGAGAATGAAAACAACCTCCACTGTGCCCAGTGGGGAGCAGGGCAGTGTGCATTTCTAATCTAGACCAAAGTCAGCCAAAGAAAGAACATGGTGTTCTTGTAGTTATGTCTTTTTTGCTTCATGCAGTTCAGGACTATGAGATAGAACCAAAGGTATTATCTGCATGGATTAGGCAGAGGGTGGTGAAGTGGATTACTTGTGCCCATTAAGCTGGAGTTAACGTTTGTGGAGAGTGTCATGATATTTGTAGATTATTTGAAAGATTAGGAGAGGATCATGGTAAAAGACATGACTGTGAGTTGGCAGTAGCATACAATTAATACTGGAATTCATTACATCACACATGTTTGGAGAAACCAATTAGTTTGGCCACACGATTTTTCCAGATTCTCCATGCATATATAAAAAAAAGGAATGCATTATAGCAAAACAATACAGTCACTGCAAAAAAATGCAGAAGAAAGTAACAGCAAAAATATTCAGTTGAAAATCAAGTTTATAATTATATTCAGAAACCAAGGAAGAAATAAAAGACCTAACATTCCAGAAGAATGGTTCTTGTAAGCAAATGAAAGTTCAACTATCTTTTGTTTCCATTTGCAATTTCCTAAATGTGAATATCACCAGAAATACAGGCTTGGCCCAGGCAGAAGCATTCTATGTGAGAATCCCTCTGAGATTTAGCAGGTTCATGGAGCAGGCTTACCAGATGAGATAAAAGCTGAACTTTAACACCAGGTTGGATTTTTCCAGAAGATCAGTGTAAAACATTGTGCCTGACCTTGCCCAGGAGAGAGATACTTCCAGAGAAAAAGAAGTGTGAATGTGGGGACAGGGAGAGTCTCACTGCCACCAAACAAATCCTCCTACATGGACACTAGTAACTATTACACCAATAGATAAAAAATACTACATTATATTTATGTTGCCACAACTCAGACTGAAACATGTGGGAATGCTTTTGAGTTAATTTAAATGACAAAGTACTAAGACAGAGAGTATTACTCTGAGCTCTCATTTGTGCTTCTGTTCCATCATGTCTGGTTGCCTAAATGGTAAGGGAACACCCTGCAGTCTTCCTGTTGTTCAAGCTGTGTCACAGAGGAGAAGGTGCATAGCCTGTGGTGCTTGAGCTGTAGCAGAGGCACACAGAGCCCTTGGCAGCAGCCCATTCCCCTGAGTTCTTCCCCACCTCCCCTCACACACACTCAGAGACTCTGCTGTGCTGCCCTGCACAGGAGTGACAGATGAGGGCAGCTGGGCCTCCCTGAGCAGGGTGGTTTTTGTTCCAGGCTGTTTCACTGTGAAAGGAAATTCTGTCCATTGCATGCAGTAATAAACCCCAACATCCTCAGCTTTCACCCTGCTGATTTTCTATGAGAAATCTGTCCCTGACCCAGTGTCACTGAACCTGTCTGGGACCCAAGAGTTTTGCTTTGAAGCCAAATAGATCAGGCACCTTGGAGACTGGCCTGGCTTCTGTCTGAACCAATACAAGTAGGTTTTCCCATCACTGCATCAGAGACTGCCTGGACCTGCAGATTGTGGAGACCAGCTCTCCAGGGTTGAAAGGCAAGGTGAGTGGTGCCTGAGTCACACAACATCTACACAGGATCCTAAAATGGTAAGAAGTACAAGGTTATGCACAGACATTATGAACCACTTGCCCAGTTTACTTCTGTTACTCCAGGCAATGTAATTTTTGATTTTGATTTACACAAAAGAAATATTCAAGTTTTTTGAAAAGTTTCAATATTTCAATCTTCAAGGAGTCTCTAGATTTTCCACACCATCCTCCTCTTTCTATGT